AACTGTCATGTGACGTGTGTCCACCTGTATGGCAGTAAATGCAGGATAATCGCCCCAAAGATGAAGAAGAGACTTGAAGCAACAGAAATTTTGTTCTACAGAAGAATGCTTAGCATACACTGGACCGAATATGTGCGCAACGACGATGTTCTAGAGAAAACAGAAACAAAAAGGAAACTTATACATAACATCCGGAAAAGGCAGTTAAAATTTCTAGAGTCCATAATGAGGAAGGTGGGCTTAGAAAATCTGATACTCACAGAACAGACTGAAGACAAGAAGGACAGAGAAAAACAAAGCATATCTTACTTAATGTGCTTGATTAAATGGATGTTTGAACATAGTTTTGGAGAAGAACAAAAAGACAATATTTATTCAGAGCTACAAAGGACAGGAAATTGCGGAGAGCTATGATCGCCTACATCCTGATGGGAGAGGACGCATGAAGACGAAGAATAAGATAAGTATAGTACTGTAAATATTTTCCACGCTCTGACAAATAATATATTTAACATCATCTAGGTTAAACTGATATCTCTTCAATTCTGTTTCCTAGTTATTTTGAACAAAGCTTAATTGATTCTGGCGCCCTGCGAGGACGGTACTTACTAATCAGTAGCAACTTGCTATTACACCACATCAAGCACCCTATTGGTCGTATCTTGTTGAATTAGTAGTCTCATTTATGTTGCTATTGTACCAATATTTACATAATAAAATGCATGTTTCCGATCTTTACTGATATTTAATAAATATAACATCACTATTTTCTGATACTCCAATGATATAATAGGTTTATATTGTTTTAAGCAAGCATATAAAACTTTCTTCTATTTAAATGATTACATTAGCATATATCCATATATTTGATGACAGCAATTTCTATTAAATTTATCAAATCAAAGAATAGAGGGTCAAACCTTGCTTCAACGATCTTAGTTTAAAAAAGGTAAGAAAAACAAATTTTTATATTACACTTGTTCAACCAGTACTCGAATATGTGGCCGTTATTTGGAGTAGAAAATTAAAAAAATATATATATTTCGACGAAATGAGGTCATCCCAGGGCCTCAGCCTAACTACAAGCGAAATCAAACTATTATCCCTTCAGATCATGACTCCAAGTTTGCCAACCTGTGTGAACTATACAAAATATTGAATAGCTATTATAAAAGAGTTGTGAACAGTTTCTTCACCTTGTCAAAAAGGATGATGTAATGTTCACACAAACAGTTTGATGAAACAACACTCTAATACAGTTTCAAAGTCCAACCTTTTTGCTCTGATGGTTATGGTCAAGTGGAACTCTTTACTTAGTGGTGTTTTGAACGCACAAACGCTGGCAATTTTCAGGAAGAAACTGAGGATCCTGCTCAAAAGAACTAAAGTTTATCGACTAATTCTAATACACGTGGTTACGATTCATTTTTCCTTTGTTTTTATTTAATCTTATTTTTGTTAACTTTGTTTCAAAACATTGAGCGTCATTTTACAGTTGTTATTATTCAGAGTCAATCAGAAAGATGGAATGTGACCCCAGCGAAAATTTAGTTCGCATTTCCTTTCTTTTGGAAGGTATTTTGTCAGTGATATCTGCTTTAACCCTTTACAGAAACTCAAATATGACCCTATAGCTTCTATTATTTAATCACTTAACACCCAATATCCATTTCCGTTATTAACATCGCTTCCTTATTTTTATAAACATATCAAAGGCGTTCCACAGGGTTTTCCATGTTGGCCTTCCTCACTAGCTACAGTTACAAAGGACGAATATTTGGCTTAATTCAGTCATTGTGTGATAAAGGTGGTTCACGCTTCCAGATGATTTCATACTAACGCAGGGGTCCCTACAGTGTCTATCCGTGGACCTGCGCGGTTTCTCATCTTCATCAATGATATCTCCGACGTCCTTAGTTCCCAACTAGATATTTTTTGCAGATTACACAACTATTTATTCCTGTCCTACTAGCGACAATGTAAAACTCGAAACGAAAAAATTATAAATTTATTATAAATTTTAACGTCTCCAGAAAAAAAGCATTGTTTTTATTTAAGGAACACAGATAACCTTTTCACCCTGCCCTCAGCATGGCTGATACTAGACCCCCAGAGAACCACATCTACATCTTTTGGGGCTCACGTTTTCCACTGACAGGAAGTGATGCGACTGTACTGAATCAATTGCTACGAATTCTAGGAAAGTTGGCTCACTGTCTCGTGCCAGAATCTTACTTGCACATTAAATGTACCATTCGTCCATGCAGGGAATATTGCTGTCATATCTGGTCTGGTACTTATGATGTATATTTCGTGGTTCATGACTAAATTCATAGAAGGGTCTTTTAAAACTCCCGACAATAAATCTTATTTATTTGATTATATTTATACGGTTAAAAAACAAGCCTATGATTTCGATCACCTTCCTTTTTTTCGATAAGAAAATAAAGTAAATGTATCATATTTCTAGCATGATCATTTGAAGGTTCATTTTGCAGGTAATTGTTATCTATTTACATCCTCATAACACGTATCAAGTTCCAAAATATTCTATTTTTAATCTGCTGTGTATCTTGATATCTTTCTCCGCTCATTAGACAGTCACTGAGGGCAAATGATGCTGTTCGCTTTCGTTGTCTAACCTCCTTGCAATTTTCTCTTCATTCTTTTTCTTGCATGTTAGAAGATTTGTCATTCCACCTGAATTCGACTTACAGAAGAAAAGATAATAATCTCTATCAACCCAGTATATTAAATCTGATTCTGCATAGACCGAGAACTAATCAATTAGATTGTTATCATTCTCAAATAAATAGATCAATGCATTTCACAGTACATATTATATCGAAATCCTCTATAAGCGTCTACAATAATGTAAAGCACGAATGAATCAACTTTTCCGTAATTGAAGATTTTTTCTTCTCAAAACTGAGATAAGCATGTAGATGACTGGTTGCCATAAATGAAAAAAAAACCTGAAAGTTGACGTCTGAGTAATAAAGATTTTTAAGAATAGTTTTACTAGTCTGGCACATGAATGGCACATTGAGGTTCATCGTATGGGAAATGTTGATGCTTAACCATCAACAATTTTATAAGGAATTCAATCAATGCGTATTTTCCACAGAAGATGGCCGGGTATCTTCAATAAATGAAGGCTGGTTGTTTGTCAGGAAAAAAGACGACGAGAATTTCAAGTTCAGTTCATTTAAGCACAAAACTTGTACAAGCCTACAGATATTGTCTCTATTTTTTCCGATTCCGCAACAAAACCTCTTTCTCGAAAAGTTCCAGTGAATATTTTCATCAAGATTAGTCACAAAAGATATATATATATATATATATATATATATATATATATATATATATATATATATATATATATATACTGCGTGCCAAATTATTATAAACATTCACGTTCAACATTAATAAACGTTTTGTTTGCTCAATTCTGGGAATTTTACCTAACCTTTCTAGTAATTTGGCAGGCTCAAATCACCGTGCTGATAACAAATATGACGCCAGTTTGTTTACATTGCGCAAGTCAGTACAAAATTTTGAGCAATTGCGCAGTTCACTGTTGCCAACATTGTGTGAAAATTTTGTGTGAATTGATTGGACGGTTTTTGAAATATTAGAAAAAAGTTATCTCGATAATAATTTGGCACGGAGTGTATATATTTGTGGTGATGTTTGTAGATATAGACTAAGATGGCCGAATTTTTGGTTAAACGTTCCTTCAAACTTCCAAATAGCAATGCTTAAAAATGTTACTATTCGAAATATGGACTCTTAAAAGTGATTCACTGCTGAAGACTGAGTTCACTAATCATGCTCTAGCCTGGCTCAAAACTAATGTACTGAGTCATCTTTTAAGAATCAAACCATATTCTCTACCAATGATCAATGATACTAGCTCGGTAAATATTTCTCCGGCAAGGTCGTAAATCACGCTAGTGCTTCGGCCAAGCTTACACAAGTTGATAATGGTAATGGTGAAATTAGCTGTTTTCTTATAAGGTAATATTCGACATACATTGACAGAAGCTAAAATTACTGTCGGTTGAAATTTATAAAACAGTTTTGTTAGTAAAATAGATTTTTTCAGTCCACTAACTGTTATCGATCTTTTTAGTAGTGATGAGAGTTTCCTTCCAAGATCTTTTCTTTAATGTATTGTAGAATGTCTTAATCTTCATTATATCATTAATTTCTCTTCGAGTTAGATGGGCTACTATTCTTGTTGCTTTTGCTGGTGAAAGTCTGCAAATGATTGTGTTTCTGTTATTTGGTAAAGATCATTCTTTTAAGCTTCTTTAGTGCCAGTCTACGAGGTTTCTTGAAAGATAGTCCTCTTAACAGAGATGATCCAATTGAAGTCATTTACTTGAAAATAATTTGTTATGGATCATATTTCACTCGGTACATATGTACGCGGGGGGAATATAAATCTAGATGCGTATATAGATGCAAGAAATCGGTATATTTTACATTCAAATATACAGACATATACATAAATGTATTTATATATTTTTAAACAGTATATATCACTTCTACCGACCTGCACAATAGAGACATTTCAATAAAGAAAATGTGCTCACCAGCAGTGTTTGAAACCGCGTCTTCCTTTGTAACAGAAGCCACCGTTTGATCTGGGGTGATCTACTGTTACGATACAAAAATCCTAACAGGTTCTATTTTATTTTTAAAGAAAAGCAGACTTCCGCATCCATATATATTTCTCAAAAGCCCATATCGGCTCGGTTTCAAAGATTTACATGTCCTTTATCCTGACAAAGTCCATCAGAGGACAAAACGCGTTGGTAAAGATAAGTCTTTATTCCAAAAATCATGATAGTTTTCTTGATATCCTTTCCCTTTGTTTCCAGATATCCACCCTTCAATCTACTAATTAACCCAAAGTTGTATATAACGAACCGAAGGGGAAGTGGAACTCGGATTTACAAGTCGTTATCCGTTACACCACCCACACATACACGCTTACAGCAGCTAGTATTCTCAAGCGGACACCTATCTAGGTACTGACAATGCTCGACGTTGCTTAACTTCAGAGACCGTACGAGAACCGATGTTTCAATGTAATATGTCCGTAAGACGAAAAAAGCTGTAATCGTCTGTTCCGAAAAAAGTGTTAAAGTATTCAAGTAAGAAAAATATATTGTTAAGTGTTATGGTAATTTACCCACGCACACATGGACTCTCTCAGCTAAAAACAGGAGCAGGTACTGCCTTTTGGAAGTTTCCAGCAGACAGCTCTGACAGTCGCACCGAACATTCTTGCTGTAACGCTCTCTTTTTTATATGTTTTTTATTACTGTTTCTGTTAAAATTATTTGTTTAACTCAGTTGCTCTCTTTGTGTCTTTATTTCTGGCCCCTAACAAGGCCACTCCACTAAATTAATTCTTCTTTTGCGTACCATGTTCTATTTAATTTGAGGCAATTATAGATATCCACAACTTCTCTTTTGGTGTACTAAGTAACCTCGATTACGGTTCCAAGTTAGCCTTCTTAAGCCGTCCATTCACTGATGTTACTTGAGAAAGTTACTCTGTTTTATTGCTTCTATTGCCTCCAGTATATCATGTGGGTGGTAAATTCTCCAGGTCCTCTTTCTCTACATGTGCCCACAAAGTTCACTTGTTTCTTTCCGATTTTAAACATAAGTTACTTTGTAGTTCTTAAAACTTCCCTATTGCCTGCATATTCTGTCCACGGCATTCGACCGTAGAACGATAGCCATCGCTCCAAGTCTATTCTTCATCTTTGAGGGCATTCGCTCCTATATTACATAGCAGTTTAGAATCTATTTTATTTACCCATAATGATATTTTCCTATCTCTTAGTACACTGCTCAGTTTCGGGGATGGGGGCGCCTTTCGCTACATATTTCTGCGTCACATCATCCATGGTCTATTACCACACTACATTTACAGTAACTTTTCTGCATTTGCTTTAATTTTATATCATCAATATATAGCTCACACTTTGGGTGGTGGAATTTGATGAAAAACATTCTATCTTGTGTGTTTCGTCACCTCGACGTTTTGTAATTGCAATCCTGTTTCACTACGTTAATTTCGACTGAATAGTGATTTCGATCCTCACTGGGTGCGCATACACTTCCGTTTTTTTGCCACATAAATTTCTACGCTTAGAAAATCAACATGCTATCTTTGGGGTTTATTACAGCATTTTAATTGTATAGAATTGGTATTAGTATTTAAGCTTGCTGTTATAATTAGTGAATATTTATAAGATAGCATAAGCAAACTAATACATTTTATTACTAATTTCAAAAACAAAAAAAATGAAGAGAAAATAATTTATAAATATCAATAAAAGAAAGATACGAATCTAATACCTTTCACAAGCAGAAGAAAGGAAGTAAAGCAATGTAAATTTAACCTCGAATTCCAAGCTAAATATCGATTAACAGTGTAAATGTTCGCTCTTTGAGGACATCCATGCTTCAGCTAAATAAATAAAATTTACATTATTTTGTCACATAATCTTCGCCTGCTACATTCCTCTGACAGTAACGGAATCTACTGATTGTTGAGAAGTTCTTGAACAAATTCCAGATATAAATATTGATTAATACTACAAATTATAATGTTACTGCTGTGGATGAAAATGAAAATAAATAAATTTTCAAAATTCTGCTTCGTGTGAGCGAAAATAACAAAGCTTTTCGTTTTTGTTTTTGTTTGAACATTTTCTGGAATATGTTTTCTTTTTAAATATTCAGGAGGATTTTGTTTTGATAACCTGAGCTCAAATCGAACAAATTCCTAATCACATTTCTATATATTTATTTTTTGTTTCATTTATGAAACATTATCCAAATTATGTTCGAATCTTCATATGCGTAGCATGTAAAATCATATTTTCTTGAAGATTTGATATTAAGTCGCAAAGTTATAACATTCTCTGATCAAACAACAACGATGTAAGGCACAAATAATTTGAGTTGCTATAGTTACATTTAAATCTCAAGAAATAGAATTCATTCACTGGCAGGTGCACATCGTTATGTTGAGAAGATTAACATGTTTAGACGAAAACAAAGCTGTAATATTTTGAAGTCTTAGAAAAAAAAAAAAAACAAAAACAATATGTAATTACACTGAAACGGCAAGACCAGTATAAATTAACATGTTTACATAAAAGGTGATATCAACGATAGGATTTGTTGGAAAATACGTCAAACGTCTTATTAACTTTAATGATTACAGATAAAGAGATCAAATTCTACCAATTTACGAAATTAAACAAAATAATCGAGCCAATTTAGCGCTAACTGCAGTTCTTTAAACTTTATTTTATTTTGACTGTTTTGGTCTCTGACTTTACTGCTACTCCACTTTTCAGTTTTGCCAATTTTCTGTTCGGACAAAATAAAAATGCTAAAAAAACGTTTTAATATTACGTTTAAACGCTGTGGTTTGAACATTGAATGCCGTTTTATTTAGACGTAGTTGTGTGGGTGATATAAGGGTTTCTCAGTGGAGAAAAGACTGGTTACTGCCATTCATTACATAAGCTAGTAACATTTCATCACCACTGGGAAGACCCTAAACCTGCACCAATCATCATGATTGGTCAATCCCACAAAGAGGCTCCTAGCATCAAAAGCCTACTGGGTCTAATGCACACTCCCAACCGCGAATGAAACTTGTATGATCGTCTCATCAGAAAAAAGATGCTGGAAGAGATGACGCTTCCTTGTACAACCCCAGAAAATACCTGAACTCACACTACCATTCTCTGTCTTAACAAGAATCAGATCAGACCAAGAATGGAATATTTCTGACATATCTAGGCTGGTGTTGCTCAACCTTCACGGCCCAGTCTCACCAGAGTACAAAAGCGCCTAGTTCCTCCAGGTCAGTCTCACACAGTTAGTACACACCATATCATATTCCCGGTATCAAACCATACACATTCTCTTCTTATTCCTTTCATATGTATCCAGTTCCATTCAGATAGCTTCTTCAAAACTATTATTTTGTGGAAGAAACTCCCTAAAAGAGGCTATCCTGAGAACTGCAATCATGTGATCAGTCCAGGGCCAAGCGATATCTATCCTACAAGTCATCATAATATGCACTTTTAAATTCCGCCTTTCCCTTCCCTAATAACAATCTCACTCAGTCTCGAGTGGCCCTAGGAATTTTATTGGGTGAATTTAACTATTATCAATATTAAAGAAAGCAAAAATAGATGAAAAAAAATAGGGTTGTTTTATTTATAATTTGATTAAGATTATAATATACAGCTAAATTTGCTTTGTCAGCGATATACCTTTTAAAATGATACAGCTTAAGAAGTGGACTACCTGTGCAATCTGCTCTGGGTTAGAGATTTGATGTTGATCTTATATTACGGGGAAATATCCCTAAACTGGGATTTCTATATGCCATAGCTTTTCGAACACAATATTGCTTCTGAGTAAATAGAAGATTTGTGGATGAGAGTTTTACTCGGTGGATCTCCCTCTTCCATTCTCCTGCTTTCTATAAGATTTTGGTAGGCCATTTACGAAACTGTTTGTAAATATTTGACCCTGAACCCAAAATCAAGGAATTTAGGAAATGGAATTCTTGTAATCCAGGTTTTGACGATGGAATTCGACTTGAATTTTTTTCATAAGGCAATAAATGATATAAGAAAAGCACATCTCCTATTCAACGTACACACATGAGATGCACATTTGCATCTACCAATGAATATATATATATATATATATATATATATATATATATATATGATAAGCAAAATATTTTTTATTTTCTGATGAAGCATAAAAAAAGCATATTAAATTTATAATTTTTTATTCATTCTCTATCCTATCACTTTGTCGGATTCAATTTGATCCCAATATATATATATATATATATATATATATATATATATATATATATACCTCACGCTATGTTCATAATTGTTTACAGGTGTCACAACTTAAGTCGAAAAATGTCTTAAGTCGAAATAACCAGACTATAAACCACAAATAAACACTACGCACTGCCTGTTACGGTATTTATGATATGTTCGCAAAGTATTCTTAATAAAATAATTAATTTACACCTTATCATCCAGCAATATAGCCTTACGCTTAGCAATAGCACTTGGACTGAGACTGTTCTTGTGATTCATTGGCAATAATGTATTCTAAATCATAAAATGAAATGTAACTGAAAGAACGTCAACGGCAGAAAACAGATGTAAACAAGTCTGAATGCAATATCGGTTTTGGAGCGGAAAACAACGCACGAGTGCTACCAGCTGGCAGGAATTTGACATAAAAACATTTGCTGAACATACTTTATTATGTTAGTTTTTAATATTTTGTGTGTATATATAATTTTTAAGTATATATATATATTTATATATATATATATATATATATATATATATATATATATTTAAATTTATGTAAATATGATTTTATACTTGTTTATTGTCAATTTAGTGTTTTGATGTTTCTAATATTTGTAACAGCCAACGTAAACTCGTAAACTAACGCGTTTTATTTTTCGAAAATGACTTAACTCAAAATAACTTGAGCCAAGGCATCAGTCTCTCTCTCCCCCCTCTCAATATATATACATACATACATATATATATATATATATATATATTTATATATATATATATATATATATATATATATATATATAGTGAGACGGAAAGACTAAATTAGTGTTGGCAGGGGAATGACATTTTTAACACTGAAAGTGATTTCTTTAAACAATAAGAAGGAGCATGTGTGTAAACAAGAAGTCTGCAAGGAAGTCTTTAGTATGAGGCACCTAACTGAAATGCAGATACGATTATTTTACAAATTTCGTTAAATTTCAAGGAATGTGCTAGGCCGAGAAATGTTTTAGCAGCAGCCTCTTATACACCGAGGCCAATTTTAGTTCACAAGATATTAACCACATTTAGGAAAATAGTTTCGCAGTGCAGATCTTGTGAAATCGATTTTTGGTATTATGATTTGTAAGCATAGATTTGATGTGACACAAGGCCGAAAGTATAGCGTAACCCGTGCGGATGGAACTCAGTATTCCGTCATAATTTAT